AATGTTTATATATCAGAATCAGAAATATTGAATCGATGCCAGGAGAGAAATTATGTTTTGTGACAGTCGCTCCGACCAAGAATAGAAACATATAAAGACAAAGAGAATAACACATAAATATATACAACACAGAAGATGTATGTTGTGGTTATAAACACTATGTGAAACTGCCTAAGTGACACTGGGTTCTTTGTGAAGTGGTGACAGGTTTTTAAAATTGATGATGTGTGATTATCTGAAGTTTAATTTGAGAACCTGCTTTAAACCGTTCTCACCACTAGAGGCCCCTGTTGACTGTTTTAATTAACTTTGCTCCTTCCTACAGAGCTGATATGAAGTTGGGCCTGGTGGTGGCTGTGGCTGTGGCCCTCACGGTGCCAAACCTGTCCGAGGGCCGCATCGTCCACAAATGTGAGCTGAAAGAGCAACTGGAGGAGGCGCTCGTTCTGCCCAGAGTGCTTCAGCGACACAAGGAGAGAATCTTGGAAATAGGTGAGATTCAGTGAAGTCGTTTTGACTAGAAAAACTGTGAGGGGAAGAAAAAAGACACAAGACGACTGTAAAGACGTGAAGGGAGAAATGTGCAAAATGAATATACATAAAATTAGATAACCATAAAGTGAATAAAGGGGGAGAGAAAATGACCAGAAAGACGTGATAAATTATGATAATCCAAATAAAAGGGATTAAATATAGATGCTTAGTTAAAATATTTACCAGATTTACCACAAAAAGATGCAGATGGACACTTCTGTTTGAGTCTGGCTGCAGGGTTGAGCTCAGGTCTATATAATGATTATTTCTATTCAATTTAATGACCAACAATATTTTATACCAGTTTTAGAAAAGCAAACAACCTGCAAACTGGGCTTTGGCTCCTCGGAGAATATTTTTTAGACCCACTTGTTACGGTTGGTTCTTTGTTGGAGCCCAAAGCAGACACTGAGAGTAGTTTCAGTGTTAATGAAAAGTGTAATTATCACCAGAACAAAAACAGGCAGGCTGTGGAGGCAGGGTGCTGGCTGGCCAAACAATCCACAGGACAACAAGCACGAGGGAAAACAAAAACCGAGGAGCAGCAACAAGGCACACCGAGGAGTCTGTGTAGAAAAAGAAACAAAACTGGTTAAATATGAAACAAACAAAAACGAGGAGCAAGAATCCGAGGTTGTCATCACCGTACGCTACCGGACGAGATGGAATGAACTGGCAGAGTAGTGGATTCAGGACCAGGCTTTTATGGAGGGGATGATGGGTGAATGATTGCAGGTGTGCCYTGTTAGCTGCAGTGAGGAAGCCAGCCACACCCCCTGCCACACACACCACCTGCAGGATCAGAATAGAACAGAAGGGGGAGACAGAGACAACACACCAACACCAGAATCACCACACCACTACTACCAACAAAAATCCACAATCCTTCCAGGTCATGTCTGAAATAAAATATTTGAAAAATAAAAAAGGGGGTTGATTTCGTGAAAGTTTCTCGAATTGGTGTTAGAGAACTTTTTTTCCTTGTAGTTGCTGTCCCCCACCAGTTGGAGGTGCTGCAGCCCCCTCAGCTCCCTCACTTAGCTTAGAGTCCGTTCATTAACCAGGGCTCCAACTTTTTTCAGAATCCAATATTCACAAATGTACATTTATCTAGAAACAAGTTTCCTCTGTTGACTGTCAATCTTTTTTTGCTTCCTGCTGTTTGCACGACTGATTCGCTGCAGTCGTCTGTGAAGCGAACAGGAGGTCCCGTCTGGACACGGGTCTGGTCAGGGTGTTTGGCAAACGCAGGTCTACGACCACCAAGCCACCAACCAAACCAACCAAACCAACCAGACCAACCAAACCAACCAAACCAACCAAACCAGTCAGACCAACCAAACCAACCAGACCAGTCCAACCAACCAGACCAGTCGAACCAACCAAACCAACCAGACCAGTCCAACCAACCAGACCAGTCGAACCAACCAAACCAACCAGACCAGTCCAACCAACCAAACCAACCAAACCAGTCAATCTAACCAGACCAACCAAACCAGTCAATCTAACCAGACCAACCAAACCAGTCAATCTAACCAGACCAACCA